GCCCAGCCCCCCCTGGACAGCCAGGCCTGGTCCCCCTTCAAGCCCAGCCCCCCCTGGACAGCCAGGCCTGGTCCCCCTTCAAGCCCAGCCCCCCCCGGACAGCCAGGCCCGGTCCCCCGGGTGGGCAGAGGCCCAGGGATGTCAGCAGCTCCTCAGGGCCCAGGAATGAGGGTCAGACGGGATCAAGAAATCAAATCTTCAATGCATGGAAAACTCAGTGCCAGAGGAGGAACAGGGGTCACCGGACCAAGTGGAAGGTCAGCCAGTATATGATGAGAGGCTGGAAGGCGGCTGCCCCCAGCGTCAGGTAGAGCTGGAGGCGCTGTCGGGGTGCTGGGCCCCCCATGCTGTCGGGACTCAGGGCTGCCGTCCGCAGAGAGCGCACCTGGAAGAAAGGGCAGCTGCGGCAGCTGGGCAGGCCAGGTGGGCCCCAGGTCCAACCCAGGGCAGGGGAACCCCCAGACTCACGATGAAGTACATGAGCGCCACGGAGGTCCAGGCCAGGGCCACGTAGTAGCCGTCGCTGCCGAACAGCAGCCCTGTGAGCACGCTCAGGATCATCCTGCGGGTGGGCAGTGGGCAGAAGACTCACAACCCCGGGCCCAGGCCTGCAGCTGCCAGCCAACCCCAACCCCCACCCAGGGACCCACACCCAAATGAGTCTGGAAGCCCAGGATTCGGCCCGCTCCTCCCTGGGCTCCCAAATGCCTCGCCACCCCCGCCCCCTGATGTCCTGAACATCAGCACGCAGGTGGTCGGGAGACTGGCTGGCTCTCTGATGGAGAAGAGCTGAGGCTGTGGGGGGCCGTGGCGTATCCAGTCACGGTCCGAGGCCACAGCCCCCTCCCACAGGCCACCCTCCAGGGGGCCCCACAGGTGCTCACCCCACGTATTTGTAGCCGCTGTAGGCCAGCAGGTGGAAGGTGCTCAGGTCGCTGCGCACGGTGGCCAGGTAGAGGCCCAGGAGCAGGGCCAGCACCTCCATGGCGACCCACACCAGCGCCGTGCTGGCGCACAGGCCCAGCACTTCCGGGGAGAACCTGCGGCCGTGGGTGGGCAGGGTGAGACCCGGGGCCGGGGGCCCAGAGCCCCGGGAGGTGGAGGGGGGGAGATGGGACGGGAAGGGGCTGGCACAGACCTTTTCTGAATGCCCAGTGCCATCCCAGCCAGCAGCACGTAGGTGACGAAGGCCATCGCTGCCGAGAGCCAGAGAGAAGCCGTCAGCCTGGCCTCCTCAGCCAGAGCCCCCCACGAGGCCACCACACCTCCCCATCCTCCCCCTTCCTTCCCCACGCGCTCCCCACTTAGTTCCCAAGGGCCCTGCCTGGAGGTCTTGTCCTGCCTATCCCTTTCCCCCATTTAAATGCCACCTGACCCTTCTCCCAGGGCCACCCAGCCACGCTCTTCCTACCCCTGTCCTAGGAAACGTATCTACCTTCCCTAATGTCTTTCAGAAACTATTATCATAGGCCAAGGCCCAGAACAGGCAGGGGCTGCACAGGTTTCAGGCGGGCAGCCCTGGCTGACCCTGGAGTCAGGGCCCTGGAGACGACCTCATCTCGGGCCGCCCTGCTGAGCCAGTGCACCCCAGGTTTAACTCAGTGGTTTCACGTGGCTCAGGGCCACTGGAGCTAGGCTTCCACAGCAAGTCTAACTCATCCAGCCTGTCCTATGCCTTCACTGTTGTTGTTACGTGCCGTCGAGTCGGACCCGACTCATAGCGACCCCTCCTTGGGCTTCCAAGGCAGTATCACTATGGAAGTAGATTGCCCCATCTTCCTTCCGAGGAGTGGCTGGTGGGTCTTCCTAGCAGCCCAGGAACGATGCCCTCAGAGGACGGGGTGTCTGGAGTCAGGAGAGCCGCCCCACCCCCAAGCAGCTGTGTGGCCTCACACACTCATGTCTCTCTGGGCATGTCTCTCTCAGCCACACATGTAAAATGGGCAGGCCAGCTCCAGCTGCATGAGGGCCACGAGAGGTCACTGCAGCGAAGAAGGACGAGCACTGTCCCTCTGGGGCCCCTGGGCCGCCCGTCTAAGACACCACTGGCAGCGCCCCAGGGGGCTGGCCCCTGGCACACCTGCCCTACTGCCTCCAGCAGCTCAGTGTGTCCACTATGGGCCTAGCTGTGCGTGGCCCTGGGATGCAGAGCCGACCAGCCTCAGTGGACTGGGCAGCCTGACCAGTGCCACATGGACAGATGTGGGGGCCCTGAGGGAGCAATGGCCTGCTTGGGTTCAGGAAGGCTTCCTGGAGGAGGGGAGGTGTGAGCGGACCTTGGGGGATGAGCAATAATCAGGACAGTCCAGCTAAGAGTCCCTGGGCGCCTCCGTGAGCCGCGCCGTCCCTGGGGGTGGGGACTGCGGTTCTTCCTGTCTTACAGAAGTTAGAGTAACCGAGCCTGAGGTCCCCCAGCTGGACGTTATAAGCCCAGACGTAAAGCCAGGGCTCCAGGCTGGGGCGGTACATGGTCTAAGGTCCAAGTCCAAGAGGGAGGAGAGTCTCCACCAAGGAGCAGCCTGAGGACAGTGAAGGAAGCAGGCTCCTTGCTGGTCACTCACCCCACCTGCCCGGCAGACACCAGGCACGGAAAGCACCGAGAGAAGACGAGCCACCCTCACCCAGCTCCTGCCTTCTTGCTGAGCCCCCTCGGCCCCCAGCCCAGAGACTCACTGGGGATATAGAGGTCAGGGGCGTTGAGGTCTTGCCGCGGGGGCAGAGGCATGTCACGACTGTACTGTAGTTCCCAGTTCTGGTGGTGGCAGCAGTGTCCGAGGCAGGAGAAGACACAAAAAGGGGAAAGACGGGGGTTGATGCCTTGGGGCTGGATTCTGGGGCAGGAGGAGGGCTGCAACGGGAAGCCCACCAGCTTGTGGTAGACAGCTCACCTGGTGTGTGTAGGGAAAGACCAGGAGCCCTAGCTTCTTGGCCACATAGGCTGTGTCCACAGCAAAAAAGTACTTGAGTTTGTTCACAGACACAAAACGATGCAGCTAGGAGGTGGGGAGAGGAGGCTGCGGTCAGGCCACACCTGAGGGCTGCTGAGAGCACTGGGTGGGGTCCCATGGTGCCCTAGCCCTGGCCACATCTCCTGCCACCCTTGCCCCGGGCTGGGCCACACCTCCTTGTGCACCATGTCCTTCCCATGGGACGCGATGGAGCTGCCATAAACCATAGCCACGTTGGCCATCGGATCCCCCAGCAGGTGGTTGACACTGAAGGCCACTTCGGCTCCCGGGGCCAGGTATCCCCCCGGCTGGCCAGAGTAACCACCGCTGGTGTCATCGAAGAGTGGAGGGGGATCCGGAGCCGCCCGGGCTCTGTGCTTGGAGCCTGCAGGATTGGAGGGACCAGAGTAGGTGACAGGAACAGCAAGCAGGACCCCAAAACTGCGCTGCCCCCCTCCCCAGGCTGGGCAGCCCTGGGGCTCTGTGTGGTCCTGGGGCACCAGGCTGTCAGTAGGGGCTGAAGAGCTTTGGTGGAGAGAGCCTTTGTGAGAGGTGACAAACGTGGGCAATGAAAGAGCCGGGCAGCAATGAAACTGGTTGCCCACTTGGTTCAGGAAAGGGGGTGATCTCAGCAGGAGTGACCTCTGAACTTGAGCCTTGGCGAGAGCGCAGTTTGCCAGCGGAGGGCATACCCCGCATGAACAAGGAGGGGAGAGGAGGCAGCCGGCCTAGAGGCCTGGACAGCCGTCGCAAACTTTACCAGGGTCACGGGAAGAAAGCAAAGCAAGTTTTGGAGGTGGACACCGTTCATGTCCAGGTTTGCTTGGGGATCCCAACTGTGCTGTCACCGCCCCATCTCAGGATGGGCCGAGAGGGCGAAGTCCGGGACGCGTTGCCGAGTCGCCCAGGGCAAGAACCCGAACGATCCCGCCGCCTGCGGGGGCTGCCCCTCTCCCTTAAAGTGAGCGGGCTGCGCTGCCGACTCTCCTCCTGCCGGCTGGGCCGCGCCCCACTCGCCCCGCGCCCCACGCACCGTGGGCTCCGTAGCCGGAATGATACGCCATGGCCGCAAGGCTCACTCTCCCCAAGGGCCCGCTGCGCCGCCTCGTGGGTATGAATGCTAATAAAGCAGCCGCTCCACTGTCGGGGCACCGACTGAAGTTACCCGGCGGCCCGACACGTCCCTCCGCCGGCTGACCGCGGCCGCCATGGCCGTGGCGTCACCCTCCGCCGTCTGCCATTGGCTCTACGACTGCGCGGACTTGCCCATCCCCTCTCCCAATTGGCTACTGGGCACTCCGTAGCCGAAGTGGATTCGACAGTAGCCAACTTCCGGGAGCAGGGCAGGCGGGGCGATCCCAAATGCTCTCGGATTGGTGAGTGGGCTTGCTAGTCCGCGGCAGGAGCAGCCAATGGATGGGTGAAGGAAGAAGGTGGTGAGAATTTTTTCTACGCCTGCGCAGCGGGGCCCTTAGTGTTCGCCCTGCCACGACTACATCTCGCGGATGCCAGGCGGAGGGAGGTGGTGGCTGTAGGCCAGGAACGAAGCTTCACTCGCGGGACGTACTCCAGCAGAGAACAGGACGAGCGGACTCCGACCAAGCCACACCCCTCTGGGCTCCTGCCCGGCCTCCGAGCTCGCCTTTCTTCCCGGCCCCCTCCACTCTACCCCTGGGTCCTGGCGCGGAGCCCCGGCAGCCCGGGAAGTGTTGGTGAGAGGCCGGGCCGGGTAGCGACGGCGCGGCCCAGCGACCCCCGGATGCTTGCTCCTCCTCCCGCCTCCCATCCCTCCTTGCCGCGCGGGTGCTGTCCGTCGTCCGGTGCTGAAATGCCCTCTGGCTCTGCCGCCATCCTGCAGACCGTGAGGGGCCAACTGCCTGGGGTCTCGACTCCACACACAACCCCTCCCACTGTAGAGATCGAAAGACGGAGGCTCAGAAGATTCAAAGTCCCATGGTTGGGGCAGGATCCTGCACCAGGCCTCTCCGGTTGACTCCCGTGGGTCACACGATTTGGGAACGGAGGTGTGCGGATCTGCCTCTTGCGGCTGCGGCCGAAAACTCCTGAGTCATCCTCAGCCGTGTGGTCTGCTGGAAACGAGGTCCCCAAGGCGTGGGGCCTCCTTTCTCTCCATCCAGGTTCTGATCACCCCCACCATCCAGGAAACAGTCCTCAGAGGGCCTCCCTCCTCACGGACCTGCCGCAGCGTTGTATGGTGCAGGGCCAGGTCTTCTGCAACCTGTATGCAACCTGCTTCTGATTAGTTACCAGTGTCCATTTACACCAGGTGACCTTCCTGTTCCCTCAACTCAGCCCATGGGGCCCAATCTTAATGTCTTTGCCCAGAATCCCTTCCACCAGGGATGCCCTTCTCCCTCATACCCACTTGTCCAAAACCGGGTTATCCTGTAAGAGTCCTTCCAGCCTGTGTCTCTCAGAGGCAGGTGGAGAAGACAGGCCTGACCTTGTCTGGGGTAGGGAACTGGAGGCCAGGGTTCTAGGCCCCCTCTGGGTGTGCCAGTTGTCTCTTCTGTAAGTTCCACGACAGGGCCTGTGTTACTTTTGGAGCCCTGTCTTCCTCCACACAGTGCTTGCAAAGAGAGAACACTTAAAACATTAACAACAACAAAAACAAAAAAACCCTACTGCTGTCGAGTCGATTCGGCTCATAGCAACCCCTCCTTGGGTTTCTGAGGTGGTGTCTCTACAGAAGTAGATTGCCCAACCTTCCTTTCAAGGAATGGCTGCTGGGTTTGAACCACCAGCCTGCTGGTTAGCAGTCAAATGCCTTAGGCACTATGCCACCAGAACTCCCACTTAAACATTAATATCCAATAAATCAATATTCAATGGATGAAGCACTGGCTGGTTCTTTCCTCTCTCTTTAAATGGGGAGGATGTTAGACCAGATGCTCTTTCGCTCTTTGCCAAAAAAAACGAAACTCACACAGAATTGTAGCTTACATGCCTCACCCACTGACTGCCCAACTGGGGGGCAAGGCTCAGACGCAGGGACAAGTGTGAGGGCCGGAGGCTCAGCCAGGAAGGAGCTTGTGGGCCACACTAGCAGGAGGGATTCTCAGCTCACAGTACCGGTCCCAGTCCCTGCGCTGCCTGAATGTTTGGGGGGGATTGAAGCCACACCTTCCCATCCCCATTTCTCAGATGGGAAGACCAAGGTTGGGATGGAGAGTGCCGGCCCAAGGTCACACAGCCTAGAAACTCCTGGGGTCCTGGCCCCCAGCCTGCCTGTCCCAAGCTGAGCCCAGCACCTCACCTCTGCCCAGCCCCTGAGGCTCCTCACACCTTCCTGGGCTGTCACTATCTGTCCCCTTACCTAACACCTCAGGCCACCACGTGAGGGAGCCTAGGAGGGCTTAGCCCTGGGCTGATCATCAGAGGAGGTCAGGGGTCCTCCGAGGGCATCGGCCCACTTCCCAGATTCACCTTGCTCATTTTCC